AGCCAAATACGTCAGAACCCAATACTCTCTGGTTTAATCGATTATTTGGTGAAATAATCGATTATACTGTACGGAACTATATGGAATAATCGATTATTTTGCTGTTTAATCGATTAAAGCAGTGAGTTTGTACAGAAAATGGTTTTCTCACTGTTTTAATCGATTATTTACATATTTAATCGATTAAAGCCGAGCCTGAATGATAAATTTGAGCTTTTTGAAGCTTCTAAGTTACAGACTATGTACCGGCTATCTTAGATTCTATAATTACAGACTCAATCAAACTAAAACAGAGTTATTACAATACAGAAATCATCAATCTTCAATCTTCAATACTCTAAGTCTTTAAGCTCTTGGATCATCATCAAAATCAACATTCTTCATGATCATTATTTGCAACATCAAGTCCTTGAATGTTCAACAAAAATACTGATGGCGACTCCTCGAACCTATTCGAAAACCTCGCCTTTAGGTCTAGCCCGGTTATCGGACGACCTAAAGACGTTGAACCGTTTCTTTCAAACAAAACGCGAGTCATATAAAAACCATCGCGTCGCTCCGACCGCCTCTTCTGACGGCGGCGACAACCCTTTATCTCTTTTATCGGTCAACATGGCTACTTATCTTACAAAGAACCTAAAACCAGGCTAGCTTAACTGAAGAGTGTCCGAGATAAAGTTGGTTTATTCTTATCACTTTTATGGTTTTTTAGGGTTTCTCACTATTTTTGTCTGTTATATGATTACCCTATGCTAATGCATCAATACAAATGCAGCAAACGAATGTACACACAATTCATTCATCCACGAGCAGAGCCACGCTATTTTAGTGGTGGGGTTTTCCTGCAGAAACGTGCTTGGTTTAGGTGGTTCCAAACTGTTCTCACCAAGGCCAAAGGTCCCCAAGGTGCCCCCATTATAGGGACCTCTGAATCTCTCAGTCCTCGGGTCATGCACGGAACTCCGTGTTGACATCCTTGGACCAAATGGGGTTTTCCTGAAGAGAGTTATCACCTTGAGTTGGTGGTTTCTGACAACGGTTGTAGCCCCATGTGCCAACAAGTCGGTCGTATCTGCCACCCACTCCCTATAGGTATTCACTCTTGCCCCGGGTATAGAGGGACTGTAGTGTACAAGGGTTTTTGTGTGCAGTTTATATTTCAAACAATTTGCAGAAAATAATCATACAGCAGTTATTAAAGCCATACAATAAAACATACGGAAGAGGGTAAAGGCGTAATTTCAAATCTTTACTTAGTTTGAATTTATCCGTCACTAAATGGGATCAACTCTCTAGCTTCCCAGTGAAGTCGCCATCTGTTGCCGCCGTCCGTTCCGACGTCTAGGGACATCTAGAACGTTTATGCGAGCGGTCGCGAAAAGATGGTTTAGACTCGCGTTTTATTTTTAAATGTGTTCATTACTTCCGAGGTGCTCAACAACTGAACTATCCTTTAATAAAAGCAAGGTTTTCACAAAAGGGTTCTTATGGAGTCGCCACCAATGTTTTGACCATAAACATTGGAAAATGATAAAAAGGCATTGATTTTAAGAAAACCAAACTTGGCCATTATAACTAGAGTTGGGTAAGGGAGTTAGTTACGTGTGGGGAAGGTGTTAGCACCCCCATAACACCCCTCTCGGGTTCCCTATGACGGATTTATTCATTAAGTAAAGATTATGAGAAATTACGCTATTACCCTATTTGATTGCATAATATTAAAAAATGGCTATCTACATGATTTTATTTTATATTGCATACATAAAGCAATAAATAAAGCAATAAAGGAGAACAAAAGTGAAAAGAACCTTTGTAGCAAGCTTTGTATTGCAAATCTTTAACTGTGAGGATGCGTTTTGGAAATCCCCCGCTATACAAAGACTCTCCTCCCCGAATACAATATCGACTCGACTAAATTTTAAAGAAGAATCGAATGCTGGAATACAATTCTTTAACCAATTGTTACCTTTTTTAGGCAATCAGAGAGTTTATTCGAAGTAGGGAGAGAAGACAAGTGTCTGGAGTGTGAAAAAGTGGCAAATGAGTTTCCTATTTATAGTTTTCGCAGCCTGGCACTTTGGGACGGCCGTCTGGGGCTTGGAAAACTAGGATGGGCATCTAGGGAGGCTGGGACGGCCGTTTGGCATGTGGGACGACCGTCTGGGCTTGCTGGGACGACCATCCCGACTTCTGGGATGGCCATCTCGACTGTTCTGTCCAGATTTTATGTTCTGGGACCCCCGGGAAGCTTTCCTTTCTTTATTCGGAAGTCATTTGATGTCGTTGGACGTCCATTGAAGCTTTATCTTCAAATAGGAAGTCTTCTCGGCCTTTATTGAGAGGCCGGGCAAAATTAGTGGTCTACAACCCTATACATCAGATAAGGCTGCACCATGGAGATACGCAAAAACACCACCCATTAACAAGGATATCTCCAGCATAGCTGGCATTGGGGGCAAAATTAGAAATGGAAGAATCTATTCCCCCCAAGGAGCTGTAAGATGACGCTCCTACAAATGAAGAAAAATAAAAAGACCGAAGAAAAACATAATCCAAAGAGGAAACTGAGTAAACTTTGGATTCACGACGCTAAGGCAGTTCTCTCAATGCTCCGCCAAAGAGACAAACTCACGGTAGGCGACAAGCTTGTCACGGTTCGAGCTAAAAACAACATTTGGATTAGTAAGTCGTTTGCCCTACCTTGAATGGATGCGACTGAAA